CGATTTTTCCAAACCAATGATGCGTAGGATATTCTGTGTCTTACAATCGTCAAATAACTCCAGTGGATCATTTTTGGTTTTAGGCCCCATTTCCTACCAAAATTTGTCTTACTTATCCAAAGAGCATTTATTGCCTTATTAACATCCTGCTCTATATGTGAATTCAAGTTAAGTTTACTGTCAACAATGACTCCCAGATACTTGACTGTTCGTGAAATTTCTAAAGAAGTTTCTTTCAATTTTAAGTTATTTATAGAAAATTTCCTTTTCAGTGCGAACGGTACAATAGTGGTCTTAGAAGGGTTTATATTCAACCCTTCTTTAGTGCACCACGACGAAACATAATTTAAAGCAGTTTGCATTCTATTTGAAATGACATTTTCAAATTTTCCTCGTACTATTATGATTATCTCGAAGCCCTTTGCTTCTAAGTTTTTGAGAAGTTCGTCAACTATTAAGGACCATAAAAGAGATGAAAGAACACCTCCTTGAGGACACCCTTTTACAGCTCTAACTGTTATGGATGAGCTTCCAAGGTTTGCTGAGTTGTAGGTTAGTTGTAGTTGTAAATAGTAATTATAAGTAGTTTCTCTTTTCGAAAATAAAACAAACCAATCCCATTTTAGCCATACAGACTGTTTAAAGTGACTTAATCCTATTCTTAAAACATCATTAAACAGTCTGCAACATCTATCGAGAGGATTGTTATAACCGTAAGCAGTACGATGTCCGGGAGTCCACAGAAAGTAATAGTTGCGGAGACGGCGAACTGGAGTGTGGAAATTGATGTTCCCGAGCAAACAACTGCAGTCAATATGATTACTAATCATGTCGAATATGAAGAGAAACACTCGGCGATTTGTTAGTGTTTGCAGTCCAATAAGCGCACATCTATGCTCGTACGGAGGTACGGATTTGACCATGGCAGACGTCGTAATGCAAACTTTATAAACTGTTTCTGGATTCTCTCGATGCGCAGTACATGAACATCATGATATGGAGCCCAAATTTGTACTCCATATTCAAGAACACTGCGGACCATAGGGCAGTACAGTGCTTTCAGGGCGTACACGTCGTCGAATTGTGCAGTATTGCGGCGCAAAAATCCTAGCATGAAGTTGGCCTTTGCAACTGTCATGGATATGTGCTCGTTAAACCGTAGTTTGCTGTCCAAGATGAGCCCAAGATCCTTAATGGCATTAACCTTTTCCAGCGACGATTGATTCATAGAGTAATCCAGGGCTGTTACAACAGGCGCGGATTTCGCGATTTTCGCGGATTTGTCGCGGATTTGAACTTTCAGTCGCGAAAATCGCGGAAATATTAAATGATGTCGCGAAAATCGCGAAGGGATTATTTTGCTGTCATCAATTTTGTTGTTCATTTGGCTCTCATTTTTTTTACCGGTGCAAACCAAACACTCTGCATATAATCGAGAAATGATCTCAATTCCATAGGTCACACCGAAATTACACGGAAATTCCCTGGGGTCTGTCCAATGTGAGACATTTTCTTATTTATTTTTTTTTCAAATATGAACATAGCAGTTTTCGTTGTCAAATCATAAACGAATCGTATATATGCGAGTAATTGCAATAATGTCTGTAGTATCGAAATATGTCCAAACAGATTCAAAGTGTCTATGTTTCGTATACAAGATGTTATAGGTTCTGAAATCATTCTGGAGATCAGATTATTTTTCTACTAGATCACTCAGGACTAATTCAATGTCTGTAGTATCGAAATATGCCCAAACAAATTTGCAGTGTCTATGTGAATCATGCCAACCTATTTCCGTGTATGCCAAATGTTCTAGGATTTCCAAATTGATATTTCGATACTACCAATATTATCCCAGTCTTTGTTGATCTAGTAAAACAAATCATCTGAACTGCAGGACGATTTGGAGAACCTAGATCGTCTGGTATACGCGGAAATAATTAAACATTATCCATATAGACACTATGAATCTGTTTGGACATATTTCGATACTACAGACTTTATCCCAGTCATGGTTGATCTAGTAGAATAAATCATCTGAACTCCAGAACGATTTGGAGAACTTAAAACATCTGGTAGACATGGCAATAGTTCATGCATGATCCACATAGAGACTGTGCATCTGTCTGGAAATATTTCGATACTAAAGACATTGTCCCAATCTCGGTAGTTAGTAGTAGATCAAATTATCTGAACTCCAGGATGATTTGAAGATCCACAGACTACTCGATACTACAGACATTATTGCAGTCTTGGTTGATCTAGTAGAACAAATCAACTGATGTCCGGGACGATTTGGAAAACCTATAATTTCCGGCATACATAGTTATAAGTCGTGCATGATCTACAAAGTCACATATATAGATTCGGTTATGATTTGACAACGACAAGTGTTGGGTTCATATAAGAAATAAAAAAAATCATGAAAATGTCTCACCATTGACCAGACCCCAAGAAATATCCGTGGAAATACACAATCGCGACGTAACCAACAAGTGTGACTTATGAAACTCTGGTAATTTTTCGATTATGTGCAGGGTGTTTGGTCGGTATTATTCAAAAGAATCTCATGATGTATGTGGTATGTATTATGTTCACCAATAACTCAGAATTTATACTATACATAAATAACTGAAGATGAAACATTGTTATTTTTTATTTTATTTTTTTTTCAACGTACTTCTTTAGCTCAGTCGGTAAAGGCGCAGCTACAAAGCAAGTCCATGCTGAAGGCGACTGAGTTCGTTTCCCGTCCTTACTATTAACTTTTCGCGTTGGAAAATTTATCTACTTACTTGGGTATAGGATGGTACAGGCATAGAAAGCTTTCAATTAAAATGTGAAAGTACTTCAAAGAACACTAAGTTGAGAGCAGGCAAAAATCTAATATGCTATAAGCAATAAGCTTGAAATGCCATGTAGTAGTATACAAATAGTATTTCTAGGTAATGAAAACAGTTTTTTTTGTCGCGGATTAGTATTTGAAGTTGCGGATTTCTTTTGAGAAATCGCGGATTTCGCGGATCAAATTTAGAAAATCTTGTAACAGCCCTGGTAATTAAAAATGATCGGAGAGTGAGAGCGGGTAACGGTAATCACTTTGCATTTGGCAGCATTGGCTTGCATTCCATTCATCTGACACCAGGATGACAATCGCTCTATATCAGCTTGTAGTGCGCAACAATCCACGATCGATTTGATCACACGGTACAGCTTAAGATCATCCGCATATAGCAACTTACAGGAACTTAGCATATCACACACGTCGTTACTAAACAGAACGAAAATGAGAGGTGCTAGGTGACTCCCTTGTGGAACCCCCGATGGTATATGGAATACCTCGTATCTGGAATCACGTACCTTAACGAAAGCCTTCCTGGATGATAAGTATGATTTCAACCAACAAACGATCCACGGTGGAAGACCAAGGCGGTTTAGCTTCATAATGGCTAGGTCGTGAGGGACTTTGTCAAAAACCTTAGAGAAGTCGATGTAAACGGAGTCCACTTGCTGAAGCTTCTCGATGCTACCTGTAAGAGTGTTCGTGTAAGTCATCAAGTTAGAGACTCTCGAGCGCTTTTTCATGAATCCATGCTGAAACTCTGAGATTATGGGTTGAACAGCTGGATACAACTTTGGCCAATCGAGATAGGTCGTAATTTTCCACTTTGTGCATGTTACCGGACTTGAAGATTGGTGTAATTGAGGCGAGCTTCCAGGCATCCGGAAAAACGCTATCCTTAAGCGACCGATTGAAAATAGACATAACGGGAGTGGCCAACGATGCTGCACAGTTCTTAACGAAAGACGGTGGAATACGGGGCTGGACCTTTCGATGGATCGACCGAGCAAAGGGCTTTGAGGATAGCGTTAAATAGAATTGTAAAAGGTGTGTGCTTGCATGATAGCATAGCATAGCATATGCGATTGTACAAATCGTGGGTGGCTATATAATGGTCAACTAATACGTTTTGCAGAAAAAAATCGAGTGTTGACGCAGAAAATATCAATTGGGATTAGTGATTTTCCCCACTCGAAAATAAAATCTACAATACAAGCATCGCATTATACACCTGGCCACATCCTTACAATCGCAGGGGAAGGGAGGGAAAGTTAATCCAACATCTACTTAAGAAGGTGCAGGGAACCCATACTACCTTCATAGGTGTCATAGGAAGGAAAGAGTTGTGTTAGTGGGAGGGTGAATGATTTGGCAACTCTATTCGTCAATATAGAGCATTTGATAAATCAGTGACAAAAAATAAAATATAAATAGATAGAATGGAAAGATCTCACCCGATTGGCCTAGAGACTTTGCAGCGTCATGTTTTCAGAAATGCTTTATTTAATTTTCCTTGAACCACCGCGATCACTGATAACGCTCTTCTAGCTCGTACGTACAAAAGAACGCACTCCACGCATAATCAAGGTTGTAAAAGGTGTGTGCTTGCATGATTTACCTATATTAGAATTACCTATAAGCCACATGAGAACCTCATTTCCTTCAATTACTATTCCATTGCAGCACACACCTAATGATGATCACTAACATTCATATAGTTTCCGCATTATCGACATTTATAATCAAAAGGTGAGTTGTAAAGTATAATTACCATGCATAGATATAAGTTAATATACCAGAACCTGGACGGACACGAGCCTACCTAGGGAAGGACCCGGATACGACCACCCATGTGTGTCTAGGACAGTAGGTGTATAGACTAGGGGGTTAGTACCTAGATAAGCCAATTTAGCGGTTGGCACAGCCTATACACTGAACAATTACAATTACAATTACATAATGGAATGAGAATTTCTACAACAGGGAATCTGTTTTCTTGTATTTAGACAGTCGACTGTGTCGCCCATAATGGAATAGTTTGAATAGTTGAGTAGAACAAAAGATATTCCATAGCGGCATAAATCACCTGTGCTACCATGGAAAAGAGAGGGTTAGCTCCCACCAGGCAGGCTATCTTTCTTAAAGAAAAAGTCAAGACTTGTATTGTAGTTTATTACTGTTTATTAAGTTTGGCAATTTACACAAAGAGGCTTAGATGTATACTTACCGGCTACGTTCATACTTATACTGCTTTCCGACTCCTTATGCTTATCCATAATCGTACTTCTTAAAAACTAGTCTTCTTGCTTAAAACCCCTAGGATCCTGCGCTCACGTTGCTACACAATTTAAAAATATATATTTTAGGGTTGAGAATATCCGCACTGTTTTTTTTTTCTTGTCATTCTAATAATTTTCCTTCCATTCGCATTTCACGGTTCTTCCGTATTCCAATTACTCGTTAGTCGGATGCAGAACCACGTGGGGACGTATAATTTCCTCAATGTCCATCGGCATTGCAGTGTCGTCTTTACCCACGTCGTCGTCCACCACGCTGACGACAGACCCGACGCCTCCGACGACGGCCGCATGGTGCGAATCGGCATCCACTACCGTTGTCACCATCTGGTCACTACCGCTGCTGCTCTGTTGAACGAAATCTACGATCTCGGATGTGGACAGGTGCTCCAGCGATGAACTGTGGCTCACCGATGTTGTTACCACGTCGAGATTCGATACTGCATTGCTGGTGACGATGGTGGAACTCGGGCCACCACCTCCTGTTATTGTAGCCGTCACGGCATTGCCCAGTGTCGAACTGTTGCTGTTACTACTAGTGGCTCCTGTGGACAATACAATTGTCAGTTTGAATAGCATACAAGTTTCAAGTAAAGAACTTACCGTGTCCTGCGATTGCTGCGGCGATGGTAATGTGCTGCAACTCAGATCCTGCATGCAAACTTTCCTCCCCATCAGAGCCAAGGAGCATGGAGTCACTGCCGTTGGTCGGTTTGCCACCGCATATCATCCGATCGCGCAATGACGGTTCATGATTGTGTGGATTGCCGACTTCTTTCACTTTCTGGTAGTCCTCGGTGATGTGCAAAATCGCTTGACATCCCTTGCGTCCATTCCAGGCGCATTTCCACGATGCAATACCGTTACGGATCTTCTGCTGGGTGCGAAAACGATACCCATTGAAGATCAGGAACGTTTGATAGCCATCCTTTGTGACGAGTTGATAGTGATGACGCTGTTGACTTTCAACGTCCACAAGCCAACCGTCCCCAACGAGGATGTCGTTGGAGATTTTTCTCTTACTAGGTTGGTCTTTCGACTTGCGTTTCTTGCTGGCACAACTTGGAGCAGTGGTGCTGGTGCTAGCGGCACCGGAAACCTTCGTCGATCCAGTAACAACGATTTGTTGTTGCGGTACTTGTGGCTGCTGCTGTTGAGGCTGTTCTTGTTGTTGTTGTTGTTGTTGTAGTTGCTGTTGTTGTTGTTGTTCTTGTTGTAGTTGTTGTTGTTGCTGTTGCTGCTGTTGTTGTAGTTGGGGTTCCGGTGTAGTCATCTGAGGTTTCGTGTCTTGTGGAGGATTATCAGTTACCGATACTGGAAGTCCGTGGTTGTGTTGTCCAATTTCTGCTACGACCTGTAATGCAGGAAAAAAAAATCGTTCTAAACAATCCTCTCAAATAGATTTCCCTCAAAACCAACCTGAACGTTTTCGTCGACCTGAATCATCGCAGGACATTGAATGTCACTGCCGGAAGCGACGCAAATCCAAATGCCAAGCTGTTCGGGTGAAGCGGTGAACAGTTGCTTCTTGAATTCGATTATGTTGCCATTGAGTGGGGCTCCACCTTCTATACTGATACGATGCTCGAGACCAATTTGCTGGTCATCGATGGCCAACTCCTGGACTGCTCCATTGCTGCCGTTGGCGTTGACGACCTCCTCTTCCGGTTGCATGTTGACCACATTGTAGATTGCAGTCTGGTCGACCGATTTTCGCTTCTCGCGCAGAAGTGTATCGTTTTCCTTGCATTTTTCCTTGTATTCGTAAAACTCTTCGATGGTGGTAACGCACTTGGCGCAGATGTATGAATTGTAGTCATCATCGAACGTTATCTAGTGAAAATTAAAAAGTTTATATTCCACATCATGTGTAAGTTTTTGGTGTTGTATGTGGCTTGATTGCACATTTTTAGCTAACCAATCGACTATCTCAAAACGTTTAATAGTTGCGGTACTATACAGAAAAAAAGAGGTTTTGAATATTACATCCAAACAGCTGCACAGAGGTCATTCCGCTGCTTGTGTAATATTACATTGTACGACATATACCGATTCTGCAAACAAAATTACATCCATTGGTGTAATATTGTATCTGCTTTTTGCTATTAGGGTTGAAGCATATATTATGTCACGCTCTAAGGGGGAAGGGGGGGGGGGGGTATAAGATTTTGTGACAAGCAATGCATTAGGTATAGGAAAAACGTCACGATAGGGGGTAATTTTTTGCTCGATTTAGCGTAACATAATTAATGCATGGGCCCTTGCATCATTGCTCCATATATCAGCTTTAATTCATAGTGAAAAAATAAGACCATTTACCTGTCAGAATAGGCCACTTCTGATCTAAGCGGAAGATGAGACAATACGGGGGCGAAAACGAACCACTTTTCTGTCAAACGTGAACCAGCTCGTGATTGGCCGATTTCAAGTGCGTAAGATATCGATAGAGATAAAAGAGTAAGAAGCCAGTTGTCTCCTCTTCCTCTTAGCTTTTGATTAGTCGAAGTCACAAACGCCTGCTTTTACACAGTTGAGTTATGTCGTTTTCGTTTTTACTATACACTACACCGGTGTAGTGTAAGCACATACGACCAATAGTTTTTTAATGAGCAAATGAAACAGAAATGAGTTAGCGGATCCAAATTTTGCCTCCAGGAAGAATAAGCAGAGTAGTGTCTGGTAGCATTAAAATGTAAATTTGTTTACGTTTCAAAAAGGAGTTCAACTTTCTTCCCCACATCAGAACAGTTATTATCATTTGGATTGATTTATAGTTGATAATTTTAGATGGTTAAGTTTTGAACCCACCACAGCATGCTTTTGGCGCTACTGTATATGGACGATCAAATGTAAAATACTGTAGTAGCCACAGCATAGTTCTGTCAAAACCTCAGAATTTTCATTGATCCATTGTAGGTTCATTTCCTGAATGACAAGAGGACTCCAAATGGAACCTGGACCATCCAAATTGATGTCGCTCCTTTGGACTATGAGGGGCAAGAAATTGATGTGAATGATTGATTTTAATTTATTTTTACAAAATCTACATATTTGATAACACTGGAGCCAAAGAGATGAACTAGAATACGGCTAAAAATCTCTATAATAAAGAATTTAAAAAAAATAACACTTGCCTGACCCCCGTATAAACTCATACGTAAACTACATGCAGGAATTTATCTCTGAACGCATGAAGTCTCCATACACAATTATACCATTATACCATAGAGGTAACTCTAAGAGTAGAAGGTCCCGAAATAACGTGTTCAACATTTGGCACAGCTCTGGTACTCTCTTCGGTCGTAAGCTAATCGATTCACCCCCTAACCCCTCATTTTATCTGTCAAACTTTCATAGCGAATCAAAACAAACATTGTGTAGTACTAGAATTTCGACTAGAATGGGGTACGTTAATCGTTTGCTTGGGACCAATAGGCTAGTCAAGTAGTGAGCCAATTTAAAATCGTTAGTTTCGTATTGATTGTTGATTATACTACCCTGTGGGCATAACAGTCCCATTTACATTTTTGTCGAAAATGAGTCATACATTATAATCGATTGTCAAGTACCATCACTTTACAGTGTACACAAAAAGTTTCCTACTTTGTTCAGAAAATGTCGAGAAAAATACCAAAACTATGTTGTCCCATCCATAAGAGCCCATAGAGAAAGAAAATCTTCAACAGCGTTTTTCTCAGCTTGCTGTTTTAACGAATGGGACAAATAAAGAGCCTGAATTTATAAAGAGACGACAAGTCAAAATTGGAACAATCGATTATATGTCAAAGTCATAGGAAAAGCTATTCTAATCGAGCAGAAGACCTGTCACATGGCTAAGGTGTCGCCTCTTTACCCAATTCAGTCTCTTTAGGGACAGGTATGCTGAAAACAACTATATATACGCAACTATAGGAGCGTTTACCCTATTACCAACCGGTGGAAACTAACGATTTTAAATTGACTCACTACTTGACTAGCCTATTGGTCCTCAAGTACATCGATTAACGTACCCCATTCTAGCCGAAAGTCTAGTACTACACTATGTTTGTTTTGAGTCGCTATGAAAATTTGACAGATAAAATTAGGGGTTCGTGGATTTTCCTATGTTTCGAGGGGTGTATCGATTAGCTTGGGACCGAAGAGAAGGCCACAGCTAAGCCAAAAAGTGGGCACGTTTCTTCAGGAAACTTTTGCGAACTTTCGCAACCTACATTTCAAAGTGAGAACCGCTAGAGGGAGGATAGTTGCCAAATTCTCCAAGTAAAACAGGATTTTCTGAGAAAATCGCTACATACTATCCATCAGTGAAGGCATAATCATTAGCAAATTGATATTTTCCGCTCAAATACGCGTGATATTGGAGCAAAATAACATGCTTGATATTAATTTTGCAAACTCCTTTGATATTGCGAGACTATTCACAACGTGTAACGTTGAAGCTGAGGCTGTGTTCCATTTGGTGAATTTTCACTTAAATTTGACAGATTGAAAATTTTCAAATAAACGTGCTATTGTGCGAGACTTATTTCTGACAGACCAGGAATCAATTTTGACAAACACTTTCTCGAAAATCGGATGATCAACAACAGAGGGATTATCGAACATTTACATTCAAATCAGTTTCAAAGGGCACAGGTCTTCTAGTTTCACTGATCTGTATTAATTTGAACCAATATTGTTTTGTTTGTTTACGTTTTGAGAGTTGTTGAACAGGTAGATCGAGGTTAGGGCGATGCTACTGGGCGTCGGATTCCCCATCGGGATCCACCATCGGTTTCTCCGTCGGGATCCGTGATGAAATTCCCGTTGGGATTCATCTTCGGATTTCCCATCGTCCCAACGGACCCCGTCGACAGATTCTTCATCCGTCGTCGGATTCCGCATTGGGATCCTTCTTCGGATTCTACATTGGAATCCGTCTTCGGATCATTCATTGCAATCCGTCTTCAGGTTCTCTATCGGAATTCGTCTTCGGAATCACCATCGGGATTCGTCTTCGTACTACGGGATCCGTCTTTGAATTTCCCATCATGATCCATCTTCGGATTCGTCATCAGATTGCCCATCAAGATCCGTCTTCGGGATCCATGCTTGGATTCCCACCGGAATCCGTCTTAGGCTTCTCCATCTGGATCGGTGTTCGGATTCCCATCGGTTTCCTTTTTTGGATTCCTCATCAGGATCCATCGTCGGATTACCTATCCGGATCCATCTTCGGTTTCCACTTCGGGTTCCATCATCGGATTCTGTATTGGGATCCGTCGTTGGATTCCCTTTTGGGATCCGTTGGGTTCTCCATCGGGATCCTTCTTTAGATTCCCCATCGGGATCCATCTTTGGATTCCTCATTAGGATCCACCTGCGGATTCCCCATCGGGATCCTTTATCGATTTTCCCATTAAAATCCGTCTTTGAATTTCCTATCGGAATCCCTCTTCAGATTCCCCATCGAGATCCGTGTTCACAGATTACCCATCGGGATCCGTGTTCAGTATTTCCCATCGGAATCTTTCATCGGATTCCCTCGAATTTCCTCCGCGATGGACAGTAGCGAGCAGCAGAAAAAAAACAACAAATCAACTCAACCGCGCGCTTTTCATGCTTTGTTGTCAAACAAAATAACAACCCATCTCGGGTTGCAACTCGGTCTTCAAATTTGAAGGCACGCTACTACCCCGGAATCGGTCACGGTTTAGTTTCTTTTATGCACACCCATTTAGCACCCCGCGGTGAGAGTTGTTACAACCCATGGGTTGCTAAAATGGGTATTAAACCCCGTTTAGCGCCCCGCGTTGGAGGTGCTCTAACAGGAGTACCTTTACTGAATAATAAATTAAATCAAAAAAGCTTAAAAAGTATGCAAATCCCGCTTCACCTTATTGAGTCCAGAGCCATGATTACTTCTGCAATAGTCATGCATGATTAAATTATAAATAATCACTTGTGGTAAAAATTTGTCTTTTCAGTATTAAATTTTATAAAAATTTTGATACGCTGCTCTTCTTGCTTGGACGGCATTTTGACAACTGAAGAGTGAATTCCAAAATCAAAATAGGAGCAACATTCTACACACACACACCTTCAAAATGAGGGGTGTTCAGGTTTTTTAAATGTAAAATTGAAAGAAATACGTCAAGTTGATATTGACCAAATTTTGACCGTATCACCCTTTACAGCAAAAAAGTGATCTTCCATTTAATTCCACTTGGTATCCATGACAGATACGTATTTAAGTGGAATTAAATGAAAGATAACCTTTTTGCTGTTTTATTTAAGCATTCCGCTAACAACCCAATTTCATTACTTCATTACATTTTATTCTTTGAGAATATTAATAGATAATCAAAAGAGATTAAAATCCATCGAAAAAATATTAAAAGTCATTCAAAAACGATTAACATATAATCAAAAATTTAAATTTATTCAAACAAGATAACTTTTAATTTAAGCAACCACGATTAAACTGGGTTTAATATCAGATGATTATTTTTTAGCAAGAGATAATTAATTTTTAATCATTCGATATGATTAAACTGAGTTTAATGTCAAATTGATTAAATTTTAAGCAAAATGAGAATAATAGTTCAATTTATCAGTGTAAAGCTGCTGGAGTGTTGATCCAAACATTCAGAATTGCGGAGCTTGACGGTTTAAAGTTCTTTCTTGAGATTCACGTTCGGCGAGTTGCGGGTCGGTATTTAATGAACCAGAAATCATACGTGTTGAAGCTTCTCTCAAGGTTACAGATGGAGCACTGCAAAACGTCTCGAGTTCCGATGACCAGCGGCTTTATACTATACAACTAAGGGAGGAGAACAGCGACTCTCTGACGG